ATATTATTTCATATGGACAAATATTCGGTTTGAGACACGGAGGAGAGTGGTCGAGTCTCTCTCTGCATTTCAATCGGCTCCACGTAACAACTACACACTTTACTCAGCTCTTTCCTTGCGCTTTACGCATGAAAGTGTAAACTGTAAAATTGTGCACTGGAAATACTGCAATAAACTACCCCGGCAACTGAAAGTATATCTTTCTGACACTCGTCAATACTACGGGACAATCATCTCATAATTTTGTGGGGGGCAGAATTTTGTGTGTGCGTCTTGTTAAAACCGAACTGCATTATCATCCACGAGGAGGACCGGGTACGTCATTGTTACTTCGTCGCCACATCTTGCTACGTTTTTCGCCAAATGATGGGGGCCGGGAAAGAGGACGCTCTTCCAGCCATCATCATTCGTGTCCACCCAAGGGACGTCTGGGGGTCATTCGTCGTTGGGAATCAGTGACCACGTCGGGACGCCGTGGCGGCCGCTGTGACCCACTTCAACAGGTTGTGGCGAATCCTGTCTTCGTTGGAGGAGGCGTACTACGACATACTTTTCATCACTCTCCATGGCGTGGACTTTGTTCATCTTCCCTTCCTGGCAGGCAAGGATTGCAGGAGCAACAGCACCCACGATTCCATATCACATTCGTCTCCTCCCCTTCTTATCTACCTACCACCGACCGGATGTCGTAATTTCATCTACACACTTCTTCCTTACAAAATATCAACATACGTCACATCCCAATACTCACTGGGCTGGTTTCCTCTCCTCACAACAACATTCCTTGACCAATATCACGTCGCTCAAATTCTTCAACCATTGACTGGAATCTCGGCTGACTCAACAATTACACACTTTTATGATATACTTACTCTGTCACGATGGTTGTTAAATAGCTGACTCAACTCTTTCTTTCGTGTGCGTTATTATGACCTTGTTTTAAATACTGATCTCTTATCAAATCGAACTCCCAGATTTAATGAATGCCAATTTAATTACTCATCTTATTGTAATTATTGTGACTCATTTAATGATTTTATCAAATTTGCTCCTTTATGGGCCCGAAGTGGCCGAAAAAAAGGAATAATAAATCATATCATATCATATCATATCATATCATATGGACAAATATTGCTAGTATCTGACAAAGGACAGACTTGGTAATTGAATTGAATGCAGAGTGGAATATTATTGATCTGTATATAACTCGAGACTTATATGAGATCAGATAAAGTTTATATGTATCATTAAAAGTGGGTGAATGATTTTGGGTCGCCTTTCTTGCTCAGGGTAAGCATGTGAAAGATATGTTGAGAAGATTTGGATGGGCGGTGTTTTTGTGACGCAATATCGTCCCCTAAGCCACTTGCATATCGCTTTAACTGGACTATTAATAAGCTGGCCTTGAACATTGCGTTCTGCTACATACATACAGGCACTTGATTACGTGTAATGACAAGTTAAATGATTCAATTCGCAAATTTTTCCGTTTTTTGTAATTTTTCATTTTCAACTAGTCCAAAATTGTCACACTATACTTATGTAATTTATGTCAAACAATTATGCAATTATGTTACCGTAAATACTTTATTCATAGCTCTAATTTAAGTATTGCCTGTCTCGAAATATAACCCGGGCTAGAGACCAAGAACTCGAAATTTTTGCCGAGTCTCTAATTAGAGCCGGGCAATTAATTATGGCCTGTCTGGTTTGCTGAGTCCCCGTTCATACCCACACAAGAAAAATTCTGTTCATTCCGTTAATCCGCGAATGAGGTCAAAACTTGAAAACCGTTAACTTAATTTTGCTAAGAATGTATATAATCTTGACAAGCAATAAAAAAAACTACTAAACGTATATTTAAACTGAGCGGTTCACTGCTGATGTAGCTTACTAAATAGGAAAACTTAAATTGAGTAAAAATTAAATATACGTGATTTTCTAATATTTAAAGTTAGGGCGGAGTAAAATTTTGGCAGGTTTTAATTGCATATGTATTGATAACCGGTCTCCAAATTGTAGCCGAGTGTATGACACAAAGTTCTGCATTTTAGCCTCGACTAAAAATAGAGTATTTATTTCCGGTATTTATATCAATTTATTCCTTTGCTTTAAACACGAAAAAAAATTTTAATGTCTGTAATCAAATGTGTAAAACTCACCCAGCTGAACTACAAAATTGTAAGAAAGAATCCTGACCTATTCACCTAGAAGGGCGAGACTGGCCCCGGTTTTTGGCATGTTTTAAGACTGTTCCAAACAGTATAAATAACCCTCAGTATAGCTGAAAAAAATTATTTCAATGTACTTCTTCTGTTTTCCTGACAATTATATTTTTCCACCCGCTGAAAATTAGACTTGGCAGAGTGAAGCGATGATGGCGTGAGCTGTGAGCCCACTTAATGTTTAAAAATAACAAAATTAAAAAAAAACTACATATGCACAACTAAGGAGGAGAGTACGCCAACCTGATAATGACAGATCTTGATGTCCTTTGGATATATGGTAGTACCCCCTCTGAAAGTAAAAAGTGTGAAGCGGTTTGATGCCATGGCCCAATTTACGCCCGTCACACCCCTTTGAAGGCGCGCCCGATGCCAAACTAGCAGCACTAAAAAATTCGCCAAAAATCCAATTTTGTTCGAATTTTCATAATAATTATATATTTGTGATCCCAGATAGTCCCTTTATCATATTCAGTTGCAAAATTAACTTTTCAGAAATTTTCAACATTTTCAAATATTTCCTGAAAAGGGCATGGCTTGAAAAAATTCAGAATTCCAAAAAAGTTCAGATTTATATCAGATATGATAAAACAACTATTTGGGATCATAAATATGTAACTATTATGAAAATCCGAACAAAATTGGATTTTTGGCGAATTTTTTAGTGCAGCTAGTTTGGCATCGGGCGCGCCTTCAAAGGGGTGTGACGGGCGTAAATTGGGCCATGGCATCAAACCGCTTCACACTTTTTGCTTTCAGAGGGGTTACTACCATATATCCAAAGGACATCAAGATCTGTCATTATCAGGTTGGCGTACTTTCCTCCTAAGTTGCACAACCCAACCAGTGGTGTTGTAATAGTTAGACAAGTAGAGATATCTATGACACCACACAATTTGCACCACCAGTGCCGGAACTGTATGTTTTGGCGCCCCTAGGCAAATGGCAACAAAGCAGTTGGGCAAAAGCTATTACCTTTTGCTGGGTCTTACGAATGCATGTACATATATCCATAACATTTTATTTTAAATCAATTAAAACCTTTGTTAATTTAAAAAAATTCATAGGCCAAACATGAAAAAGTTGAGCTCTATATGCTGTTAAATTTGTTGCGTTGGTCACGAATTTGTTTAACCGATTAGAAATTTACACATTGTATGTATTAGGAACTCTCGGGGCCCCTAGTTTTTGCCAACCTTGCCCACATGGTATTTGCGCCACTGGGTATCAGATTGAGTTTTTGCCTTTGGTCAGGTTGAAATTGGTTTATTCGAGCCGTGTGTGAATGTGCACCCGGAGTTTGATATTGTGTTTGCTTAGATAAGTGTAAAGTGGCCTCATTTACTTAAATACTGATTCTCAACCTAATTGTATGGTAAACTTGCTACCGTGGCGATTATCTGGATTCAACCAGAGTTTATTAGGCAGCGTTTTATGTATGAATCTTACTGGAATGTAAGTCAAACCATGGAGAGGTGTTAGATGGTTATATCCGAATTTGACCGGACTAACTGTTGGAATTTAAACTGTTTGCTGTCAGAAATTAGTCCATTATTATTTTTTCGTTTTGTAGAATGTGCGTGCTTGCGAATGTGAGGTAATGTTAAATAAATTTCCATGCAAAAGTTGGATTTTTTCAATATTCTGTCACCTTTTGAATTTTAACACCATGTCAAAATTATGAAAAATTTTTGCCCATAATTACTTCCCTGAAATTACATATTATCATTGTATTACAATAAATGATTTAATTGATTTTATTTTATGTATGCATAATTGCATATTTGCACTACAATGCATACTTTAATTTAATTTATTATAAGCTATTAAGTTAAGCCATGCATTGTAGTGCAAATATGGAATTATGCATACATAAAATAAAATCAATTAAATTAAATTATGCAGTACAGTGCAAATGTGCAATTATGCATAATAATAAATAAATTAAATTAAGTTATTCTTTGCCGTTCAATTATGCAGCCATGCATAAAATAGATTAAAATAAATTAAATTGGGCATTGGAAGTAATAAATTGATGAATTCATTATTGTCATTCAGCATATTTATTTAGGTGTTGCAGGTGACAACACGAAATACTTTGTAACCCTGTTGTCAAGCCACTTGACATAAAAATGCCAAGTGAAGAGGCCTACCTTAATAACTCAAATTTGCCAGGGCATGGCTTATTTGAATCACTCGCTAATGAACACGTCCATGATAACTACATATTTATCATAGCAAACTGACAACTGGTGATATTATTTAAACATCATCACCTAGCAGCGTAAGCAAATATACAAAGATATGTACACAACCTTTGGAATAAGTAATTAACTATTCCCCAACCAACAGCGAGCTTACTGCCTGATTCTCGGAAGGTGTGTTTTTCCAAGTCCAGTCTTGGTTACAATCAGACGTGTTCAGTCTCATTTATTTGACTGATTATGATAGTGAGTATGAGTGAGTATGTCTTTTATTCCATTTTAATGGAAAACGCAGATAATCCAATACAAGTATTGGATTTGATTGATAAACTACGTATTTGTTTGATCATACTAATCGATGAGATTAAACACAGTTGACTCATTTACACCTGGGAATACCGGATTACGTAGGTTAGGATTCCCCAATTTCTGGAAACAAGTCAATGGATCACTGTCAACTTGAATTAAAGTGAGAGAATTGATAACAGGACCCTATTTATAAGTGGGAGTCGGCCTGGTAATTCCAACACACAGCACTGAGGATTCCACTCGTTAAAATATCTACTGAACCATGAAGCTAATAATCATCGCCGCCGCCACATTGGCACTTGCTTCTGCTGGCATAATCGAGAATGCTCTGAAGATCGCCGTTGAGCATGGGGACACCGAAGCAATCCTGGAACTGCCCCAAATTATTGGTCAAGTCGAATCCAACCAAGCCCTTCAGTCTCTCACCGGTGACTTCAAGGTATCCGCCCTGATCACCACATTACATGGGCTCACTTCTGCTGCACAGGCTCCCTTCATCACGGTCGCTGCATCCCTTGGCCTGGAGACTGAACAATATTGGGCTTCAAACTTCATCCTCCTGAAAGGTCTGACTCCTGAGAAACTATCTTCACTCGGAGCGAGACTTCACCGTCCGAAGGCAACACACGGCATCCGTTGACCCCTACGTCGTCAGGAATATTACCCAAAACCCGCAGTGGGGAGTAGCCAAAATCTGGGCACCCGAAGCATGGGCCATTTCAACCGGAGAGGGTAGTGTCGTTGCAATAATCGACACAGGTGTAAATCTTGCACATGTTGCACTCGCCAACGGCTATGCTGGCGCCTGGTCGGACCCCTACTACAATACGGCTGGACCAACTGATCAACAAGGTCACGGTTCTCACATCGCAGGAGTAAGCGTTGGACGTGCCAATGGGATCGGTGTCGCACCTGGAGCCAGGTGGATTGCTTGCCGCGGATTGAATCATCAAGGTTCCGGAACTGAAGCCGTTCTCACCCAATGCGTATGTTCGTGTTTGAATTTTGATCAACTTTTCTTGATCTTATCTATAACAATGAAATCAATAGGCCCAATTCATGTTGACTGCCAACCCACGCCCAAACGTCGTTTCTAACTCATGGGGTGGTGGATCTGGACAAACTTGGTTTAATCCTCAAATCTCTGTAGAAATGCTGGAATTATTCCAGTTTTCGGTGTCGGAAGCTCAGGATCGTTGAGTCGATCTGCCAACTCTCCAGGAGATCTGCCGAGCGTGATTGCTGTCGGTGCCACCACCAATACCGACGCGGCGGCAACTTTCTCTTCGAGAGGGCCATCTTCATCAGGACTACTGAAGCCTGACTTCTGCGCTCCAGGGAATAACATTGTTTCTTGTGGAACGGGTGCTAATAACTATGTGACCATGTCCGGAACTTCAATGGTAAGCATGGATTTCAACTGTGCTTAATAATTTTTTCTAAGTTTGAAATTTAGCCAATTTTGAATGAAAAAAATATTTCTTTGAAGATATAATAGTGGATTGCAGATTTAGAAATTTTGATGGGGGAATTATACCCTGTTATGTCTTGGTTATATCTGAACATTTTTTTCGAAAATCCATTCATATTCTAGCTTTATTTGCTACAAAATCTCGCGGTAGAATGGTTTCCACCTGGCCCACACAGTTCGCACCCACTTCCATTAAAAAACCTATGCCTAAAGTTTTAAATTGCCATAAGCTTTAAATGAAAGTGGGTGCAAACTGTGTGTGCCAGGTGGAAACCTTTTTACGGCGAGATTTTATAGCAAATAAAACAAGAATAAATATATTCCAAACTTACTCTGTTTACATGATTCGTAATTTTTAGGCAGTCCCACATGCAGCTGGAGCAGTCGGTACAAACTAATTAATTATCATCAAATAATGTGAAAATATAGTCAACTTAACGACGTGATGAATACGGTGTAGTAATTATTATCGTTATAATTATGTCAGCCATTATTGTCTCGGCTAATCCAGCCTGGACCTTCGCCGAGGTCTACGACGCCCTTGCAACCACGGCGGTGGAAACACCACTGTCTGACTCGGATAGGAACTGCGGCCTTCCAGGTGACACTGATTACCCGAACTATGCATGTGGTCATGGACTTATTGACGTCGCTGCGGCTATTGGTTTATAAACTGGGCAAATTTGTTTAGTTTAAAGATTTACATTCCAATTTGCACTCCGATCGTCTAATTAAATATGTATTTACATTTGATGAAAAATAACCCCTGTCAAAGTCCCGTAATTAATAATGTAGCATCGACTCGGAAGGTTCCAAAAGAAGTAAATATTTAGATTTGTCAATATTTTTTCGTCCTTCGGCTCAGGGATGTGACATTTGCTGTAAATGATTTCCTGTCAAACGCAACATGTAATCGTAAAAACATATTTATTCGGCTGTCGCTAATTAAACTCCTAAGAGGATCCGGTACATAGAATGCTTTATCACAAACAAGTGAAAAAATAACTGCATAATTAACATTCATAGAATCCGCTTGAACATTTTAATATCAAACTCCATCCTAAAACTTACATGAGAATAAAACAAATCAAATTCATCCCATGCTTATTGGAAATTAAAAAATGTCAAATATGATACTACCCGAAGGAATAAATATTGCTTTATTAAGGTATGGCTGCAAATTTTGGCCGACTTATGTATATTGATCATTAGAAATATTTAGGTATTATATAAATATACTGACTTCAAATTTTTATGCATCTATGAACTTCCAGTAGGTTTGTTCCAAACTTCCCAACGATTTGTTGTCAAATTAATGACAACTTTACAATTATGTACAAGTTGTATATAATTTGCACCGTTAGATTTATTTATTTATCCCAAAAGGGACACTTCAATTTAAGAGTATGATATCAACAGATTAATCGTCTGTTCCACAATGATTGTAGGGATCGTCATTTTGATTGATCTGCTCATATAGCACAGTAAAAAGTCGCTAACTGCTAAAGGGAGACCTGTTTTTCGCACGGACATGATCTCTCTGAGAAACAACTTCCTATCGAAACGTCGCCCCACTCGTCTCGCCACTCTTTTCAGCTCTTTTGCATACATTATTGACTTGTCTGAATATACTGCCATTAAGCTTAACCCGAGGAAAAAGCACATGCCTATCGTAAGCGATCCATAGACAAGGAGGAGAATCAAGTACCAGGGCGCACCATTGCGAATGAGGGATATCAAGCCGAAGTTTAGGACAACCGAGAATCCAGTGATAACTGAAACAAGGAAAAATCCAGCTTGGCTTTGGAGACTGTGAGTAGCAGCCATGACCATACGAATCTGGAAGACATTCACAAATAGATAAATATGCATGAAACTAAAATTAAGAATTATTTAGTCTTCAGTTACTCAATAATTAAATTCAACTAATTAAATAAAAATTCAAAAAATCAGGCGTATGTATGTATGTAGGACAGTTTAGAATCATTTAAATTTCCCTTGTATGATATCGTTTTTATGTATTCAAAAGATACGAAAGGTACTTTTCGACGTAGTTGCGGGAATCGAGATTTCGATATTCAGAAATTTTAATTAAATACTGATTTATACCTACATAAACACACCAAAATGTTTACGATATACGACTACTGTGGGGAATGGATATTCCACCCGACGATCCCACCACTCGACCCACGGAAGCCACCGGGGCCGAGCTCGACTGTAAAAAGGAAGATCTCTCTCCGTCTCGACACAGACCGGCCCGAGTGTTCCCAGCGTGAACACCTCCACAACACTTCTCTCTAATTTTTCCGTGCACCACGCCGTCTGCGTGGCTGCCATTTTGAAAATATATTAGTATCAAAAATTAAGTTCCTAAAATTCATTTATTGTACACGTTATGATCGTTTAATATAGGAGTAAAGATTTCTTAGAACCTTGTCAACTGAAACCTAGTGCGTACACCGGTATCGAACAGTTTATTCGGGTCATTCTCCATAAAATTCGTACATTGAATCGTGCCAGGTGCAGTTTAGTATAGAAACGGTGCATAAATAGAGATCAGAGTGCAAAGCAAGACAGTATTGTTAATTGCCAAGCGAGAGACAATTTCATCCTCCTCCTCCCCGTGCGTCGTAGCTCCCATCTGGTTACTCCCCCTGTGGCGTGTAAAGGTGGCCGTACTCAGAGGCGTGTCCGCATCCGTCCCCCCAAGGACCCTGACGTCCGGTACTCGATGAGACGCCCCCAACATCCCTTACCGAGCAGCCGCCGCCATATTTTACGCCCACACTACTTGAAATCTAAATTCTCCTCAAGAATTGTTGCAACAATTTTGTAAAACTAATCTTACAAGGGACACTCACGACCTGTCGTTTGAGTCCAGGGTACCCACTATGTTTTTTAGAATCTACTAGGACCCCGATGAAGGATTCATTCATATTTCCGTGTAAAACTCATATTTGGCGACGTGGCGTGGCGCCAAATTCGCCAAAATTGAATGTTTTTTTTTGAAACCGCCATAACTTTTGAAATCCTGGACGGATTTTCAAAATTTTTGGCAAAAATCATGACAAGGAGTTCAACTTTCTTATTCCATGAATTTTTTTCTAAAGTTATCGCTTTTAACTTTTCGCAAAATTTCGTCATTTTCTTCGAAATGGGGGTTCGTCGCAAAAATCCTAAAAATATTGCAAAAATTAGAAATTTTTTATTTTTATTTTTTTGTCAAAAATTTCGACTTTTGTGATCATTTTAAACATAAAATTTTGAAAATCCGACATAAACTGCAAAAGTTATGAGGGTTTGAAGTTGGTCGAAAATGTAAATTTTTAAGTTTGGCGCCACGCCATGGCGCCAAATATGAGTTTTACACGGAAATATGAATGGATCCTTCATCTGGGGTCCTAGTAGATTCTAAAAAACATAGTGGGTACCCTGGACTCAAACGACAGGTCGTGAGTGTCCCTTGTTAATACGCCTAAATTAAAACTCACCTGACGATACCCACTCATGGAGTCATGCTTGTTCAACCATAGCCGCTCAATTACCAGTTGCAATGAAGCGTTGATCAATCTTGCACCAAAGTTAACCGTAAAACAAATTAAACATAGGAACCGAATGACCTCCATGCATGCCATCAACGTCACGATGTACCGACAAAAGAATAATGTAATTCGAAACAAGACAGCTTCATGCCACATGACTTGCCTGATTATAGATTTGACTATCTGAATGATGTGGTCGCCTGGATCAATGCCAAGCCAGACGAGGGTAAGGACTCCGGCAGGGGTTGAGTAATACAATATTGGGAAACACGTCCTTGCAAAGAGGCAAAGTGGATCAGTACTGCGTTTCCTGGGAATTTATAAATTTAATTAACTACATGTATTTATAGTGATCTCATAAAGCTAACCCGATATCAAGTTCAATAATAAATAGTTTATATTTGAAAAATTATTCTATACACAAAACATATTATTGCAGCATAAGCAATGATTTATCACCAGCTGTTTTGAATTAGTGTATTAAGTATGTTAAAAACAATCTCCCGTTCACATTTTTTACCCGATTCTTCCCAGACTTTGAATGTATTCCATCCTTTTGAACATGCCTATCAGCAAGTTTAACGAGTAGGTAAGGTCCCCCACGTATTTGATGCAGCCAAAGTACCCTCCCCCACAAAGACAGAAGCCGAATGTGGTGGCGATATAACAGCCAAATTTCTTTATCCAGGCAACGTTGTGAATAATCCCTCGAGAAATATTGAACTTCAGCGCCCACAACCCAAAAATTCCTGCCAGCACGGCGATTCCCCCCAATAAGAAAGGAATCCGGTCTAAAAAATAGGAATATTTTCTGCGAACGAGAACGATCTTTCCTTCTCTGGGACTCCATTGTATCGGGAGCTTGTAACAGAAGGGGTATCGATCCAAGAAATACTTTTGGTAGTCGGAAAGAACCGTACATTCTTGTGAGAAATAGTGAAAAGTTGGGTCAAGTAGTTTCTTTAAAATCATTTTTGGATGTTTCTTACGTCAAGTATCGAAAGCACAAAAGATTTCCGAAATAGTTTATAAATACAATCATGGATTAGTTCCTTAAGTGAAGCTGTTGGTAAAAAAGGAAAGGTCGATGGAAATTTTTTAGTTGTTAAAATGAACTGAATGTTGCTGATCACGAGATAAAATTTAAATTTCATCCAAATTTGTTTTGTAGAAGACCTTTAATTAGTAAAGTATATATGTTGAGAAAAGAAATTAAATTGGAGCGGGCCTGCTTTTACGCAAATTGCGAATTAATAAAGTTCTTTGATAAAATGTGACAGAATTAATACTTTAAAACGAACGAGAAAAATGGTTGGGAAAAAGAAAAAGAAAGAAAAAGAGGATAGATAGGACCACGTGTATCTAATAAAGCCACCGCCACGTGTTGGAAAAATATGTACCTATTTCTTTCATAAGGTTTAGTTATTACCTGACAAGGAAGGAACATTCGATTACATTAAAATTTGAAAACACTATTAAAAAACTGGTATTCAATCATTTTACTGACTGGAGTATTTGCATTTCTCATGATGAATCCTTCATTTCAGCTCTCGTTTATTTCAACCAGTGTCCAAGTTTCGAATATTTTTTGAAAAATGAATACGAACTTTCAAGTTTCTGATTCAAGCAGCAGAATGTTCAGGGCGGGAAATACAGAATTATTTTTAGATATGAAATTCGCCACGGTAAATATGAATTTCTTCGTTTTAACTAGATAATTTTATGTATTTTATGAAAGTGCCCGCGTCAAAACAATAACTTGCGCGCTCAAAGCTAAATGAATACGGGTATTAAGTAATATTTTACACCGTTCTCAATTTATTTGGTTACTCGCAGAAAATAATTATACACTATTCACTATATTCTATAATAATTATACACATTCTATTTAGCACCCAGAAGGATCTCCAGCCCCGGCCAGACCTAAGGCTCGTCGGACATGACCATAAATCAGGAAGCGCTTCTGGGCATGCTCCGTCACACTCCAGTGCACCGTTAATCGTGGAGGAGCCGAACTGTCCCTGTTGAACGCCTCCCCGATCATGTACGTTTTTCCTACACAAAACAATGCCTCAATAAATATCCGTATATACAGGAAGAGGGGTTCGGATTGGTGAAACTCATTTC